AAGACACTTTTCTCACAGCCTTACCCATGATTATTAAAAAATATCTGATGACTGTCAGGACATAGAAAGATCTGTATTTGTAATCACAAGTGCCAAATAAACTTGAATGAATGTATGTTGTAAACCATGGCAGTCAAATTTTATTTTCAGCTGCCAGAACAAATTGTATGTTCCATTGTATAGCTGAGGATTCTTTGGCATTCAATGACTGCAACAAATTAAAACCAGCACCTCGAAGGAATTTTGCTAATTTCAACCACACAAACCAACTGGCTCCATGGATCCAGTTAAGGCACGGTTTAGATAGCATGGCAATTGTGCCACTTATATTTATTGACTTTCATGAGCCAAGGAGAGAAAGCAATACTATGAAAGAGGAAACATTAAAAGGAGTAGCTTTTAAAAAATGATATGTGAAGCGTTTCATCCCTTTTCATTAGGACTGTGCAGTGTTTGGGATTAAATTCTGAAGAGGTGCTTTAGAGCACATGGGAACATGAATGTGCCATCTGCCAGCAGCTCATTAAAGCAGTTGCATCTGTTTCGAGAACAAGCCAATCTTATCGTATTTAGGGTGGCATTCTAAAGATGGCTGGAACATTACTACAAAGAATATGCTCTTCTTTGTAGATCCTATTCCATAGGGTCCTGCTGAGAAGGAATGGGTCTCCTCTGAAGATCTCTGGGTACAGAAAAAATGAGTCTGTATATGTGCAATGTGCATATAGTTTTCAAGCATATGGGTGATAATTAGTGAATAAAAATAACTTTTCCATATCTTATTAAACTTCCAGTAAATAAGCTATTTGTGGGAGGAGAAAGGAACACTTTGCTGAACCATTCTGGAAAAATTAGAGGTAAATGGTAAGTAATAATTATTTTGTTACATTTCAAGTTGTGACTTCTGTTGAAAAATTATATTACTTGCACATCCCTTATTCAACAAATTCAATAGGGATTGAATGGCTATCCGATATTTTATTGCCCATTATGACTTTTAATGACAATTGCTTGGGAATTGGTGGCCCTTGTTAGACCTGGTGGAGCATCTGGACCAGATGTTCTTCTGCAATAATAAATAGGCAAATTATTTCTTTATCTGTAGAACTTGCAATGATTCATTAGCACTTTGAAAATTCTAAGCAACTGGTGCCAAAAATAAAGATTTTTGTCATCCAAATTTTCATCCCAAGCATTTTCTACTTGATATGGCCAAAGATTGGCTCTTTCCCCATTCCTGGGATCAAACACTATCTCCTGCTGACCTCCAAGGTCCCTTCCAACTCTGTTATCCTATCCTATCCT